TCATTTGACAGCACCTTCCTTGTTTTTCTCTGTCATCCAATCTGTCCTTTCATGTCCCTCTTCATTGGCGGAAACAAAAAGAAGTTCCATGGGGTGAGGTCAGGTGAGTAAGGTACGTGGGGCAAGAGAAGCATGATTTTTTTTGGCTAAACTGGTGCACTGAGATGGCTGTGTGAGCAGGTGAATTGCCACGGTGGCAAAACCAGTCTCCCATCTGCCACAACTAGGTCTTTTCTGTCGCATGCTGTTATGCTGTTTTCTAGAACCTTAACAGTCTGACCTGGTGGAACAAAATCCAAATGCACTATGAGTCAACCTTTCCGCCCTTTTGGAAAGTTGATGGACATCCAGAATGAGGTTTGTCATCAATCGACATTTCACCCCTTTTGAAACGAGATAACCACTCGTACACTTGCGTTTTCCCCATAGCACTGTCCTTGTATGCTGTGTTCAACATCACAAGAGTTTTGGCGGCATTTTTCCTGAGCAGAAAACAAAATTTCACAGCCACAGGGTGTTCTCTTAAATCAGCCATCACAAAAAATGAGGTTCAAGTGAAACTGCTTTCATGAAAAAAATCTAGTGACTAGAGAGAATCTTTCCAGGCGATGCCACTGAGTGCACTAACCAGAGTTGCTGCTTGATGTTGGGAAACATGCGTACTACAAAAGCTCTGCCCAGTAGAGTTGCTGTCCGTTTTGGGGGGGTATCCCCTGGTATTTTATGTCAATCAGTTATTTAGCTACAAGGTGCTCTCAAAGGTTGGTTTTGACTGAAGGTCTGAAGATTACTTCAGGACCATGGTCTTGGCAAGCCCCAGTCTCAGTCTAGTAAGTCTAGACTTTTTACCAATCTGACTGCAATTCCACGTTCCTCTCTCCTTCTGTAAGGTCCTGGTCAGAATGCTTGGTAGAGGGCACCATCTACTTCTGGCTTCTGAGTAAATGACCAAGTGTCTTCGCCATTCAGGTTTTTTTGGTGTGTGAAGTACTTTTATGTTTATGATGCCCCTTCTCCTAAGGCTGTAGTGGGAACATTTTCTCTGCTAGAGACCATTTGAATATTTATAACATCATGTAAATATGGTCATCCTGGCCATTTCATTAACTCACCCCTAATGTGATGGCTGGCACTGCTTCTCTTTGCTGAGGCATGTGATGTTATCTGGTAATGATGACTTTGCGGGCCTTACATGGTCTGCAGGCTGGACCTGTCCTACCGACTCCTAAGATTTTAGTCCCACAAAAATATATCCTGGAGTTAATGAAATACTACATAAATACAGGGTTGCTGTGATATACTAGCCTAAATAAATTGACTATAATAAAGATTCATTTAGCTATTTGGAATTTTGACAAATTATTTTTAATCCTTGGTAGATAATTGCTATGGATCAGAATATAAGCCCTCATTTCTGAGCTTACAGGCCAACAATATTGTTAGACTAGATATGTTCATTAGTGCAAATGCTAATCAATGGCCCAAATAAAAATATGATGGAAAATTCAAGACGAAGGAAATAAAGTAGGCTTGATGGTTCAGGTCTGATCTTCATGGACAGTTAGTATGGTCCGCAGGAGGGTGACAAGGAAGGAAGGTGACAGAGTGGATGGTGCTCCGTAGTTACTCAGCAGGAACTGAGAACAGCAGACCCAGAAATGAAAGACACAGACAACCACACTGCTCTGGAAACAGAAAGCACACCATAGCTGAAACCGGCTTTTTATTTTTAGTGGTGAAATGAGAGGTAATACTGGAAAAGAGTAACACAGTGTTACTCCGATTTCATAATACAATTGGTGTGTGTGGGGGGATGCTTTTCAAAGGGAAATTGACCAAATATTTTTTAAAATGTGAAATTATTTTATGTAACCTAGTCTATAGCGTCACCATGAGTTGGGAGTGACTCAATAGCAGGGAGGGTTTTTGTTTTTGACGCTACCATACTGTAACAATGGGTTCTGTGTTTTTCTTGATGGCCACTAACTCCAACAACATGGTGAAGTCAGGCAGCCTGGTGGCAATGAGGAGAATCCTCATTACTACACGGGTATAATGCTTTTAAAAGCTCATGAGTCATGCCAGGAATTTAAAACACAGCCTGGGGTGGGGGTAGGGAGAATAATGAGAGAAGGAAAATAATTTTATCATTAGACTGTGGGAGATGAGAGCTGATCTAAACGGGTCAAGCTGCCTGACTCAACCCTTTCTCACATTCCAGCATGCCTCCCGGAGTCTATTTTTTGGGGAAGCCAGGCCCTGGGAGGTAGCTCGGTAGCTCCTTAGTTGAATCACCACTGAGTTAGTCTTATAATCAGTCTCACTGCATTTATAATCTCCCACTAATTGGCTATTTACAGAATTACTTAAGCAATTACTTTCTTAATAACCTCAACCTTCACGAGCAACCATTAACTGCGTCCGTGTTCCCAGAGTCGAGCATACTGGATACCTGCATTTGTTAAGATACCATTAGTTTTAAGTAATTGATATGGACTCCATGTGGGAATGGTAGTAGAACTTTATATGCAAGATTCTGGGACACGTTACGGAAATCAAATGAGGCACAAGAGAAGGAATAGGGACAACTCTAGGGCAAGTTGCACTGATGTTCACTTAGTACGCCATTTCACTCTATTTACAACCACCTTCTGGGATGATGGTAGAGGGTACAGACAGTCACTATATTATTTATTACAAGTTGTTTCCTCTAGGAATAGTGATTCTCTGACAAGATCAGAGCCCCACTGAACAGCAAACTCTGTCTGAGGATGAAACTGTGTACTCTGACCAGGCATTTTACATCTGCTAACTGGTACAATAAAGTGTTTCTGGCTAGAGCTGAGCCGAAAAGTAAAGAGCCCAGTTTAGAAGGCATTTATTTCTGTCAGGCAGAGGGCATGGCTGCAAACCTTTGTAACTAGAGCTAAGGGTAGACCAACAGTGATGAGATGCCACCACTGCACTGGTTAATATACTACTGACGTTCAAAGTTTAAAACTTGATTTTTAAAATCAAATGGTATCTTTGTTTGGTCAAGAATCTCTGTCCAAAACTTTCCTCCTAGTAGACAATGTAGTAGACCTCTGAGGACAGCCCCTAAACTATCCTGCTCCTCACCTGTCTCAAGAGATGCTGGAAGCTGGGTGGCTTTTAATTGGCTTTTCTGGTCATGACCTTGCAACTCCCCCAAATGCTTGGGTGGGATTATGTAAATGAGGTGCTAGTCGGTCAGTCCACCAAGGGGGTCTAACAGCTTGCTAACAATGCAAATAAAATGCACTGATGGTGGGGGGGGGGGGAGTGGGACCTTAACAAACAGGTGAATGGGGCAAGGGGGGTGTATTGATCAGTTTTGCCATCCTGGTAGGCTTAACATAAGCCATCCCAGTGGCAAAAAGCGGGGACCTGATCACCACCAAGAAGAAGAGCAGGAATGAAACACGACCTCTGGACCCAGGGTTTCTGCACTGGAAACCTAGACCCAGAAGTCAGAGAGCCAGAGATGGCAAGAAGCCGTGGTGGAGAAATGGTGGCAGCACCCACAAGTGTATGTAGGGCTCTGTCAAGGCACTGGAGGAAAAGAACATCTTAGTTGGGGGGGGGGGTGACGGAAGGGGGCGTGCAGCCAAGGGCAAGGGAGCTTTGCAAGTGACCGACTCCTCTAAAACCAGGGCTGATCTTCTGCAGCCCTCAGTGTCTGACACGCAGATGCAAGTGGGGGCAGGTGCCATCAGTTATGGGTTGGTATGGTGAGCACACGGAAGCCAGTTTCTGAGGACTGTGAGGTGGAAGGTGTGTCTGTCTGAATAGTGGCAGGTCAGAGTGTGACTAGAGAGGGCTCTGGATAGCAAAGGTTACAGAGTCTGCTGGGCATTGGGCTATTAACCTTAAGGTTAACAGTTCCAACCCAGCCAGCTGCTCAGTGGGAGAAGGATGAGGCTTTCTGCTCCCACACAGATGTACCACCTTGGAAACCCAATGTGGGCAGGTCTACTCTGTCCTAGAGGGTGGCTAGGAGTCACAACAGACTCAATGGTAGTGGAAAGGCAAAGTTTCTAAGTGTGCATTTTGCCCCAGACAGAATCAGGCATCCATGCTTTCTGAAGAATCCAACCTTTCTCAAGAAGCAACAATTTTTGCTTAGAACTCATAGTCAGGAACATTTTCCTGATAAGCTCTCAAAACAACAGCAAAACCAAAGCAAGCTCACTGCCATCGAGTGGATTCGGACTCATAGCGACCCCACAGGACAGAGTAGAACTACCCTTGCGTGTTCCCGGGGCTGTGACTCTTTACAAGCTGGGCTGCATTGCCATCCTGAAGGTCAGCTGTTCCAAATCACCAGCTGTTCCTTGGGGGAAAACTAGGCTGTCCTCCTGCAAACAGCTACAGCTTCACAGGAGCAGTTCTACCCTGTCCTAGTAAGGTTTTTATGAGTCGGCAGTGATGGCAGTAGAGTTTGGTTTGTGTTTTATAACTGTAGTACTGTAGCAGATAGCCTCAATTTTCTCCAGTGGAGCACCTGGTGGTTTCGAACTGCTGATCTTGCAATCATCAAGCCAACTTGTAACCCACTACGACACCAGGCCTCAACATTGCCAATAGGTTTGCTTTTATGGCTGTCACTTAAGCGGGAGGGAGTGCTTTAAAAATGTCCCCATGCTATACCAAGCACCAGTGGTAAAACGTCGGGTTCTAAAGATAAGGGCGCTCCGCGGCTCCCTGGGTGGGCAGCTGGACTGGCACCCGCTGACCCCACCCCATCCCACCCGCCGTTGCCTTGGCGGCGGACAATCAGCAAAGATGCTCAACCCGGACACGCCCATCCTTTTCTCCGTGGGATTTTTGTCGTGGGGGTGTTGTCGGTCCAGCTCCCGGCATCCCCTGCGACGCAGGGGCGAGGCAGGAGCACGTCTCACCTGCGCGGGGACCCTGCCCCCTGGGCGCCCGAGGAGGGAGGAGCTTGCCTTGGGGCTGGGGCAGGGCCTGTCCCTTACCTGCGCTAAGACGGCGAGACCGCCCTCGGACGCCGCCAACTTTACGCGGCCCTGGTACCAGGCCGCTCCTGCCCCTGTCAGCGCCACTCCGGCCACGGCCGCCGCCCAGGATGCGGGGCCCGGCCAGGCCCGCCGGCTGGCTGCGAGCGCACGCCGCAGGCGCTCGCCCCAGGTCGCGAGCAGTACCCCGCGGGCGGCCGCGGTCGCCATCTTTGCGGAAGTGTGGACTCCAAGCGGCTGGCGACGTCACGCCTCCTCCCGCGGGCCCGCGCGCTGCTCGTGCCCGCCGCTGTCGCGGGAATCACGTCTGCTACTCTCGCGAGACTCTCGCCCGCCTCTGCTGGAGCCTCCCTGGGGTTGGCGCCCGTGCCTTTGTTTGCGGGGTGTGATGGCATCTGTTGGGACCGCACGAGGCAGTCTCTGAACTCAGGGCCCGTCGCCCGCCAAAGCGCGAGTGGGGACAAGTCCAAAAGCACATCTCAAGTAAAACCAATCTGCTGTTGGTAGGTGCCATCTGCCTGGTTACTAATCCCAGTGCTCCCATGCCCCAGTAACTAGTGGTTTTGAACTGCCTACCATGAGGGCTGCCCAACGCTTCTCTACTACACCACCTCCTATATCTAGGATGGAAAGGCAAATTTTCAGCAGGGGTTTGAAGCTGAATGAATGAGTTTGAAACCCTGTGTTTTGGTTTTTTTTCAACGAGAACCTAGACAAAACTACCTTCTTTCATTCAGGTGATCACTATTTGGGGAATGTTGAGTGTAAATTCTGTCCCACCAAAGGGTTTTAGAGTTGACAATTCCCCTCCCCCAAACCAAACCAAACTCACTGTCATCAGCTCCTAGGACTCAGGGTGACCAAGACTGTAACTCTTTATGGGAGTGCAAAGCCCTGTCTTTCTCCCAGAAAGTTCCCTCACCTGCGACTAAAAGCTAACTGGCACCAGTTGCAACAGCACACCGGCAACCATGGGTTTTGTTGACTTCTCCCCCGTCCCCGCCCCCATCCCAGCCAGTCATCAGGATCCAGCTGCTTCCCTAGTTTAGGCATGGAAAAATCCCCCAGTCCTTACAAAAAGAAATGACTTCAAGGAGGCACAACATTGTTCTCTGATCTTCCATTTTCCTGAGTAAATTTGTCTCTGATCTTTTGTTCTCTGATCTTCCATTTTCCTGAGTAAATTTACTTCATGAACTCTTTGCTCCGCCTCTGAAATGTCCCCACTATTGAGAGACTTTTGGGGGGCAGGCAGTAGCTACTTATGAGAGGGCTTTGGGGGTGCAGACAGTAACTACTTATGAGAGGGTCTTTGGGGTGCAGGCAGTAACATAGAGCCAAAGTCAAAAGTAGCCAAGGCTCCTGTTCGTATCATTGCTGCCATCTTGAAGTTTTGAAAAAAACAAAAACAAATGCCACACGAAATCTAATTTGACCATTTAATCAAAGTCCCTGGGATCATTAGCCCTTGCTTTCTTCCTCTTTGTCAAACCAAACCCACTGCCATAAAGTTGATTCTTACTATAAGCGATCCTACAGTGCAGAGTGAAAGTCTCCCCTGTGGGTTTCTGAGGCTGTAAGTCTTTATGGAAGCCAAAAACCTCATCTTTCTCTGCAGCGTAGCTGGTAGGCTCCAATGCCTGATGTTGCAGTTAGCAGCCCAATCAGTAACCCACTCCGCCACCAGGCCTCCTAGTGGATTTACAAGTTAGAGGAGTTAGTATAAAAATGCTATCTGGAACCACCTCCACTGTTTTTGACCTTGACCTTGTATTATGATGTGTGCACAGTGATGTCTCCGGGTGCTGTTATGATTACAAACCTTGCCTGTCTAAATTAATCTGCAGAGTGGCTTCACCTCCCCCTCCCCCTGCCCTGCAGCTGCAGCCGCTGATGCCATTTGCAACGTACCTTCCTAGGCAGGAAGTAAATACATCAGACTCACTGTGCAGGGACTTGGGAGCCAGCCCAGAGGGATGGAATCCTGGCTGTCCCAGAATGATCACTGTGACTGGGGACCAGTTATTTAATCTCTGTGTTTCAGTTTGCGCATTTATAAACAATTCTTTCATGGTTTGATGAGGGTGGGGGGCACGGAGGGGGGTTGTTAAATGAGATGTTCTATATGAAATGAGGAACCAAAGGTCTGGTATATGATGGGCTTACAACAGGCGTGAGTTTACCTTCTTCAATATCTGGCTTCCTCCTTCTGCCCTTTGACCACAGTGAACTTGACTGTGTGCCCCGAGCTACTTGGGTTCCAGCTTACTAGCCTTACTTGATCTCAGAGACTTTGCTGGTTTTTTATATTTGTTTTAACGTGTGGAGCCCCTGCTCTGTTTTTCACCACCGTTGCTGTGTTGTTCAGTGCCCTCTCGTCGGTGCCCACTTGTGACCTGTGTACAACAGAGCAACACACTGTTGGGTCCTGCTCCAGCCGCAGCACGTTGATGTGGGAGCCTACTGTTGGAGCCTCCCCTCTTGTGGAGGACCTTCCTCCTTTTCGCTGCCCCACTGCTTCCCAAGTGTGGTGTCCTTCTCCAAGGGCTGGTCTCTCCCGGTAACATGTCCAAAGCACATTCGACAAAGTCTCACCGTCCTTGTCTCTAAGGAGCATTCTATCTGTAGTTTCTCTAAGACAGATTTGTGGGGGGGGGGGGGAAGGGGAGCTTTTGTTTTGTTTTGTTTGCAGTCCCTGGTACCTTCAATATTCCTCTCCAGCACCATAATTCTAATGCATCGATTCTTCTTTGGTCTTCCTTCTTCAATGTCTAACTTTCACACGCCTATGAGGTGATTGAAAATACCCTGGCTTGGGTCAGGCACATGTAAATTCTCAGGGTAACATCCTTGGTTTTCAACACTTTAAAGAGGTCTGATGCAGCAGACTTCTTGATGCAGAAGGATTTGGTATCGGGATTAGAGAAAAGTTTATTAACGACCTGCGATATGCTTGCTGATGAAGATCGAAGATGGCAGCCTTCAGTGTGGATCACAACTCAGCGTACAGAAGACCCACATCCTTACAACTGGACCAGTAGGGAACATCATGATCAGTGGAGAAAATCTGAAGTTGTCAAGGATTGCCTCTTGCTTGGACCCACTGCTCATGGAAGCAGCAGTGAAGTGATCAAAGGACACATTGTATTGGGCAAATCTGCTCTAGATGCCCTCACCACTGGTAGTGCATGGCCTCATGGCCCACTTTTCTGGATTATGGGCATCTCAGTTGTCTCTGTCTATTGGCAGTCAAAGGCTTTCTAGAATGTGTCTGGACATCCTAGATGTCTTTACCGTCTAGTCTTAGTGACACAGTGGATTAAGCACTGGGCTCCTAACGCAAAGGTCAGTGGTTCAAATTAGCCAGCTGCTCCATGGGAGAAAGATGAGACTGACTGCTCTCATGAAGAGGTACAGCTTCTGATACCTAAGGAGCAGTTCTGCTCTGTCCTGTAGGGTCGTTATGACCCAGAGTAGACTTGATGGCAATGGGTTTAGTGTTTGGGTTCCATTCCTTAGTCTTGTCTGCTTCAGGCTGCCTAATGTACACGGGTCCTATACTCATTTGATGAACCTCGATATGTGTTAATCAGGTCTGGCCCCACAGCCAACACGGGTGCCTTATAGCACTTGTATCTTAGGGGCATCATAGCCTCTGGCATGGTCAAACTTTGCATTGATTCCATAGTGTGAGTCTTCTGGGTAAAATGTCTTATTCTTTGCTGTTTCCCTAGGGCCTCCCAGAATGCACGGCACACATTAGACCTCCAGTGGTTGACTGTCTGAACAAGGCAACACATCAAGGCACAGCTGGACGTCCAGGCTGCCTAGTTCCATTGTTTGGGTGTCAAACACCCAGAAATATACTAGTTTTCCTCCAGAGTAACTCATTTTCCAAGGGCTGGGGTGGGCGGGGGCCCTTGCTTGAGAAGACTTTCTTTTCTATTATTGTAATCATCTCTTGACATGTGGTGGAAAAACTCTGACCCTCCTTGGCAAACAGGGCTTTGTAATGAAATATTTTGGTGTCATGTTCCCAAGCCTCGGGAACTCTCATTTAAGATTTAATAATATTCAAACTTTTTCTTCTTCTTTTTTGCAGAGGAAACACATTCCTATAAAAGAATTAATCTCTAGACTACTCAGCATCTCGAGTATGAAATCTTCCCCGGGCAGCTGCTGACATTTGTTAAGTCCGCAGACTATCTCGGGCCTCGCAGGCACCAGCTTTGCTCACTTCTCCGCAGACCAGCTGGAGAGAAAGCCCTCCGCTGGGAGGTGTTTTCAACCATGGGACTTTACAAAGCAATCCGCACATAAGGAACCATCTCTAAAGCGATAAGATCGATAGTGTTTTAAGTGGTAATTGGAGAAAAGCAGGAGAGAAACACTGAGAGTTTCCAGGAATGAAATTGTAAAGCATGACATTCCTCACTCACTTTCTCTGTCTCCCACGCAAACCCAAACTCACTGCCATCTAGTCAAATCCAACTCAGAGTGACCCTGTAGGCCAGAGTAGAACTGCTCCTGTCGGTTTCTAAGACTGTAAATCTTGACTGGAGCAGACAGCCTCATCGTTCTCCTGAAGACTGATTGGTAGGTTTGAACAACTGATCTTGTGGTCAGCTGCTCAATGTATAGCCAACTAGAAGGGACCAAACAGAAATGGCAGAAAAATTGTTCTCAGGGAGTTTTGGACATGTGGTGCTTTGGAACATGTGGCCAGGAGAGGCCAGCCCTGGAGAAGGACATCATGTTGGGTACAGTGGAAGGGCAGTGAAAAAGAGGAAGACCCTTGAAGAGATGGATTGACAACGCAGCTGCAACAGTGAGCTCACACATAAGGAACAATTGTGCAGATGGTGCAGGATCCGGCACTGTTGTGCATAGGGGTTGCTATGGGTCAGGACTGACCTGGCCAAACCTCGCAGCAGCAGCAGCAGCAGCAGCAGCAGCAGCGAATTTTGTGCAAGATTTACTTGTCCCGAGGGGGAAGACTATGGTGCTCTAGAAAAGTGAGAAAGGGATTGGAAGAGCGGAGTCTGGGTCTGAACTTGGAAAGTGAGGAAGGTTTGGCTCCACAGAGCCTGTGGGAAGCCCTCTCAGGTTGGCAAAACAGTCTGATGGAGAGAGCCAGGAGGAACACTGGAGACGAGGTGTTTGAGAGCAGAAGGACGAGTGGACGCTGCCCTGGAATGAGACGTAGCGCT